TAGCTTCAATAGCCTTGCATGCATTCATTTCGAGTGTCATTAGTTAGAAAGTTTTGCTAAAAATCGCTTTAAATCCTGGATTTGAAGCCCAGCACTGAGAGCCGATTGTTCCCTCAATGAATAAGCTGAGCATTGTGACAGGAAGCATTGTGAGCGGGACGAGCCTTTCGAAAAAAGCGGAAGGGCTTCCGTGTTCTTTTTCTTTCACCGGTGAATGTCACACCGAGTTGGCATGCCAAGAAGACGCCGAGAGGTGCGGGAGGTGTGGACGAAAGGTGAAGAGGCGTGTCCTCCTTCCTGCGCTTTCACATTGAACCCCTCCAGCGATTGGTCGTTTTGGGAGCACGCCACGCCAATTCTCCTGGTGGGTTAATTAACAAAGGCCGCTCTCGGAGTAGGGGAGGCGGGAACATATGTTAGCGGGCCAGAGCCGGCTGATAAGGGGAGAGCGGGCTGGGCATGGTACCCGACCCACTCAGGTTCTGTCATACCATCCTGGCACAAGTGGGACACCAGATGTCAGAGCAGAACCGGCTCGGCAGGCCACACCTCGTAACAAGCACAAAACCAGAGCAAAGTGCCATAAATAAACTCCCGGTGGACCTGACTCTGCTCAAAAAGTCCACTACAGATCATGGCCATCAGCCACCACAACATCTCTCTCGCTCACTCGCTTTCCATTCGGACTTCCGCCTGTTTGCTTTTTATGGTAAAACGGCCCAAATGTGTCTCACTATAACTAAGACATTCTCGGTCTGAAATAATGGTCATAAAGACCAAAAACAACCGTGACTCATGGTCTTTCAGAAGGGAGACCATTAAGTCCAGACTGGTCTAAAAAAAACCTTTACACTGAAACAGAGAATGACTTGAGTCGAATTCGGGCGGAAAGGGAATTGGCTGAGCATTTTTCTTTCAATTTGTCTAGGTAAGTTGGGCTTTTTGGTGAGTGGACTAAGAGTAATTTGTAGTTTCATTCAAAATGCAGAGGTACAAACACTGGTGACCTGGTGGTTATAAGCCAGTGTACCTTAAGGACACAGAAATCCTTGTGTTTCGCCTGCTCGTCGAATTACTGTAGCCTGTCTAAATGTTAATCATAAAACAAGCTGATGTTATTAACAGATTATTCACATTCTGGTGCAGATTAAAGGCCGGATCACCGAGGAACTGGAGAGTTGTTTCCATATTACAGAGTTGTTACATACTACAGTTCAAAAGCACATTGTTTTTTTGAAATAGGTATCATCAAGAGTCATGAGTCATGACATTTTCATGATATTGGCATTGACTACTGAAAAGTTAGTATTATGACAACCATAGTCTCAAATAAATCGCATTACTAAGACTAAGATTACTAAAATTGCAATAGATTTATTACTATAACTAAGAGTTCCTCTCACAAAAATTCCCCCAAATATGACATTTTGTTTCACTGGAAGATGTAAAGGTACAGAGCAATGCTTTCATTTTCTCTCACCTGAAAAATGCAAATGCGTATATAATATTACACAATTTGACAGTTTTAATGTTTTCGCATTTGTTTTTTATAAAAAAAAATCATTGTCCAATATCTTAAGCACTTTGAGTTACTTTAAATCTATACAAGGTGCAATATATATAAATTGCACAAAACTACTACTAAATTGTTCATTTAACCTGTTAGTCTTAAAGAAGCCCTGCATATTTTTTTAGGTTTAGGGTCATGTCCACCAGGCACAGTTTTTTAGCGGGCGTTTACACAAGACATATTTGCATATTCATACATATGTCTCAGGACAAACTTTAGAAATTGTAAAAATTTTTATAAAAAAAAAAAAAAAAGGATTAAAATGCATTGATCATCATGTAAGATTCTGCATAAAGAGTGAGACGTGACAAAGCAATCAACAATTTAACAAAAAAAAAAAAGGACAAAATTATACTTTAAAGGGGTCATGAGTTGAGAAATTAAATTTCCCTTGATCTCTTGATATATAAGAGGTCATTGTACTATAAAAAAAATATCCTGTAAGTTTCATAACTCAAAACTTCCTTGTTAGTCCAAAAACAGCTCTTATTGAAACCAAGCTGCCAAAATTAGTCATTTCATACTGGATTATTTATGTTTTTAACCAAAATTACACATTTTTTCAGTATAAATCACAGCAGCATCCATCTATTATTTTAATATCCAAAACTGTTACCCAATCATAGCAGTTGGCATCCTTAAACAGGATCGAAAAAGCCTATTACTAATAAATCATGATGTTTTTAATGTAAAAATCTTAATAACATTATAAGTAGAAGGAAAATGCCGTTCATGACCCCTTTAATATTTTTAACAGTGCTTTAAAGGAAATCAAAAGAATTTTCAGATGCATCTTCTCTGAGAGGGTTTTCCTGTGCTAACAAACTTGTTAGTACACTAAACATTCTCAAAGAAGGAAGGAAAAATATAGATAACTAGTCAAACTCGATAATCAACTAGCTTACTAATCGTCTATTCTGACCAATTCTTAGATACAACGACACACAAATAGTTTTTGGTGTGTCTCGCATTGTGGTGTGGGTTTTAAGGGTTATGTTGTGCAAACTGTATGAACGAAATGTGTCACAAACAAACACACACACACACACCAGAAAACACACAAAGGCACTATGAGAGCTCAGCCTCATAATGACCTACCATGGAGCAATGTTACAAAGAGGGGATTTCGCCACTTCTCTCTTCTAGGAATGTGTGTGTGTGTTGAGAGAAAGGCAGAAGGATGTAGAAAACCAAGCTAAACCGGGCAACACACCCACACACACTCTCATACACACACAGTATGTCCATTTCCTGAGCAAATTATATCAGTCCATTGGTCTTCACACACTATCACAAGAGTGAGAACACAAGCCTAGGCCTTGTGACTCGATTGAAAACGACAGCTGACCTATGAAACTCACGTCTGCCACTACGGAGCTTCCTGATTGGCTCTCACATCAGTGTGGACCACATACTGACCCGTTCAGATCGCTCTGGTCAAGAGACTAACAGGCCTAAAACCCCTTCACAATGACCCAACATATACTGTAGCTTTATGGCTAATCATTGAGAAATGGCTGCTAAAATGGACTATGCCGGCCGCTGTGACTCACCCCCATTTCTATAAAAAGCGAGCAAATGCATGGCCACGTGACCTCGAGAGTGCAACAGAAGGAAGAAAAAAAGCACCAGTAGATTTGACAGTTTCTTATCTGAGCAACATCTGTGACAGATAACAGAACAACATGACAGGCCTCTATTTTAACATCCACAGCGAACGATTCACTGCCGCCCACCTGCACCGAAATGCAGCGCTGGTGTGGACACGAGGAAATGAAGGGTATTTCGGGGTATGAAAGAGGAGAAAAACGGGTGAGACGAAGCGCTAAAGGGCATCATGGGGGCTGGGAAAGAAAGAGCGATGGGTAGAGAGAGCAGATGCTGACACTGAGATGCTCTGACACTTCTACAGCCCCAGGAGTCACAGCATGTTAGTGCAGTGTGACAGAGCAACCTTTAAAGGCCAAACACTGAGCATCAGCAAACCTAACGGCCTCAACATCTCCCCTTACAGCAGCTACACACACACTCGTCAAACCCTCTAGAGAGGATGCAGCAGATGTAACTGTGATGGCGTGTTGCATGTTTGACGACAACAAGTAAATAAGACAATTATTAAAGAATGACAGTCTGTTAGTCAGGCAGCGACTGAGCAGCATTCTTTTTGTTTTGCTGTTCATATATGAAAATCCTGCTGTAAGCGGATGAAAGGAAAGATCAAAGCTTGAAATACTTCATGGTACATCGTACCCAATGAGACATCCTGATTTATAGGAATTGTGCTGCGGACCAAAAATGAAATAGAAGGAACCGAGATTTCCTGCTGCCACCTGCAGGTTGCAGGCATTATTACATTGAAAGCACAACAAACTAGAACAAAATAAATTTTCGTGCCATATGCATCAACAGAAAAAAAGTCACAAGGACTAAAATAATATTAACAATAATAATCATTTTGGAATTAAAGAACTAAACAAAATGAATCATGGAATTAACAAAGAAACAGAACTAAAATAAATAGAACTAAATAAATAACAATAAAATGAATAACAGTAAAATAATAAAAAAAATAATAGATAAATAACTAAATATTAAATAAATAAAAATAATAGAAATTAAGATCTAAATAAATACACTAAAAAAAGAAAATGAAAAAAAAAACGGATAAATAACAAAAACTAAATAAAGTAAAAGAAATAACTAAATACAGAAGTATATAAATAAATAAATAAACAATATTAATAAATAATAATACAATTACTAAAGGTAAAATAATAAATAAAATAAATAAATTAGAGAAATAACTAACTGAAATATTAGAAATTAAGATCTAAATAAATACACTAAACAAGAAAATTAACAAAAAACATAGGTAAATAACAAAAGACTAAATAAAGTAGTAATAGAAATAACTAAATACAGAAGTATATAAATAAATAATATTAATAAATAATAATAAAATTACTAAAGGTAAAATAAGAAATAATAAAATGAATAATAAATAAAATAAAATAAATAAATTAGAGAAATAACTAACTGAAATATTAGAAATTAAGATCTAAATACACTAAACAAGAAAATGAACAAAAAACATAGGTAAATAACAAAAGACTAAAGTAGTAATAGAAATAACTAAAGAATAGAATTAAGTAAATAAATTAATACATAAATACTAATAAAATTAATGACAATAAAATAAGAAATAATAAAATTAATAATAGATAAATAACTAAATAAAAATATAGATATAGATAAATAACAAAAAAAACTAAATAAAGAAATAAGAGAAATAACTCAATATTAATTAAGTAAATAAATAAATAAATACAAGTAATAAATAAATACATTTTCATTCAAATTCCCAGTTATAATATTTGTATGTTATGAAGTTTAACGTTTGATGTGAGGTACAGAGGACGTGTAAGCTGACCTCTCATAGATGGTCCTCAGTGTGACCTGGTCTGAGACTCCATCAGTTTCCTCCAGGAAGAGAATGATCCAGGATGTGCGGTACGGCCACTCCTCCGTCAGGTTGATCCAGGACGCTAGTCGGTCCCAGTTAAAAATGATCTGATTGGCTCTAAGTAGGCGACCTAACAAAAGACACTTCATTACTGTTATATATTTGTAAGCTCACTGCTCATGTCTTTAACACGCCACAATCAATAACGAATGTATGGAAGTATAATTGGGTCACACTGACCTGTGACTGACACGATGTTGAGCAGTCTCCTCATCGTCTGAGGGCTGATGTCACTGAACCAGTCTTCGGTGACCAGCAGCTTGGTCAGGTCAAAGGACATCTGGCGCGTGACGGAGCGCTGCATCTGTCTCCTGCGGTACGTGTCCTACACACCAATATACAGACAACTCAATGTCAGGAGGCCTGTAGCATCTGTGTGATAACTGTAGGCCTCTTCTGCATGTTTTGATTTAGTATACTGTCATGTACCTGTCAACTACAAGTACATTGTGTTTCCACAAGATCTAATCATTCTCTTCACAGTTCGGTCGCTCTCTTTCGCTAACAGACACACACATACATATACTCTTAAGATGCAACCTTCCAATCATTGTGCAGTATAAATCATAAACGCCAAACAGTGGCCGCAGAAAGTATTTTGACATTTAAGCTACATATACAAATTACATAACAAACACAGCTGTAGAGAAAAGTATGTGATTTATAGATGTTTTACATACTTTTTTTCAGCAACTGTGACAAAATGGAATCTGCAAACAAATGATAAACTTACGGCAAACATTTCCTGAAATTACTTTTAACCTACTGGTCCCAACATAATTTTTTAGTGGATATATGAAGCATTAAATTTGACCACAACAGCAATAATTTAACCAACGAAAATGAAAACGTACGCATTATTAAAACCATGAATATAAAATATATTATACAAAAATATAATAATAGAGCTAAAATACAATAAAAATAATATGTATGAAATAATGATAATGACTATAAGAATGCAAATGTATTAAAGTATTATATATTATAATAAATATAACAAAAATATTTTAGTTTAATAGAAATAAAATATAATAAAAATAATATGTATTAAGTAATGATCATTTGACCACAGCAATAAATATGCATTAACTATGAATACAAGTAAAATACAATAAAAACATAAAATATAATAACATTGATCAAATATTATATAATATTATTACTACTACTACTACTATTATTATATAAAATAAAAAATATATTGTATAAAATTTAATAATAAATAAATATACATTATGAATAATAATGATTATCATTATAAATAATAATTTAATTAATTTTCATCTTTCTTTGTGCTGTCAAATTGTCGAGCTACATATTTCTCACTTGAGAGTGCATGTTGGAAATGATGGAAATGTTGGATCAGCACTCATCAGAAAATGACAAAGTTAATAAAAACTGATGTTTGAGAATGAACCAGTGAAATGGCAGTTGCAGTGGATTGTGTCTGGAGCTGCTGATTCAATGTTGTGTCTGGGCAATTTGTTGTGCATGACTATTTGACTTGTCCTAAGAGGTCTGGCTGACTGATATGTCTGCTCTTCACTTAAAGCTTCAGCCGGTTCACTACAAGCACAATGCAGAGTTGAACACGAGCACCGGAGGGTCAGAGCTTTAAGCCCACTTTGAAGTTTTTAATGCTGAACTTGTGACTTGACTGCTACTTGGAACACATGGCCATCAATAAGGTGGCCCCTTTTTGATCCAGGATGATGGAGGGGAGACTTATGTAAAAATATGCATGATGAAATTAGTCTTAAATGTATCAAACCTAGGCTCCACTATATCGAAGATCCTCTTTGTGCATCAAGAAAGACCGGTTTGACCTCACAGCTTAATGGGACATAATCACATTAACCAAGAAAAGGACACAACACTTTCAGAGCCGCCCTACTATTTCTCTTCGTTAATGACTGGAGTCTTCCACGAGCAGCTCACGAAACCCGCTTAACAACTTTTCACAACAAAACGTGCAGATCAGGGGTACGGCGAACCGGATGCTCAGCCAAGAAACAGCAGAGGCAAAACAAGAGGAGCGTGCCCCTGAAATAAAGAAGGGCCAAATAAAGGAGGCAGATAAATCAGCCAAGCAAACAAACAGCCCTCGCAGGGCAAGCAGAGGAGCCACTTAGCCTCCTGCCTCTGTGCCACCGTGCCAGTGCTTTGTCACCGAGACCCACTGCTGCTGCACCCCGTCATTAGGCAATGGCATCTCAGCGGGAAGAGTAAACAGACATTAAATCAATTACAGACGCTCCTCGGCGGCATCCAGGGTCTCTGACAATACCCCCCCTCCAAAACACACACACACACACACACACGCGGTCCTGACTCCTAACTGTCCTTTATAACTGTGAATAAATGAATCATACAGGCGTAAAAGAGCTTGTTAGAGAGAATAAGCATGGTTAAAGCCATTATAAATGAGTTACTAATGAGGTAATAGCAGCCATATGGCCTTCGTTGAGCTGGCTATCTTAAATCGTGCTGATGGGAAGTGGTGGGAGTGTTGGAGGCTAAGTCTTACCCGGCGGTTCAGTGCTGTTTTGCTGCCCTGCCTGCCCTGTTCGCCGAGACTGTTCTGAGACAACTTCCTGTCCATGTCCTCTTGCCACGCTACAGATGGAGAGAGTCAGACGTTCAGAGGAAGTATCGGAGCGGAAAAGCTGTGCTGTTAGTCTATATTAAATGCACTACACCACAGATGATGCAGACGACAAATCGCAACAATTATCAGCCACATAAATCAAAGAAATCAGATTAATAGAACGCAAACATCTTGTTATACATAAAACGCATTACAGAAAAGTAAGATGTTCAGATGTTTTAAAATCTCTTCTTTTTTGTTCCACAAAAGAAAGAAAGTCATACAGGCTTCGAACAACATGAAGGTGAAGAAATGCTTACTGAATTTTCAGTTTTAAGGTTTTTGAGAGCCTTAGTACAAAAGAGAAAAGTACTTGACAAAAAAATCTGTAATTTTATAAATTAAATATTAAATTAAATTAAAATAAAATAAAGTAATATAAAATTATAAATGAAATTAAATGAAATAAAATTTTACTAAATTAAAATAAGAATAACATTAAAAATAAAAACAAAATTAAATCTAATATAAAAATAAAATAAAAATAAAATTATAAAATATAATAAATCAACACACCATAAATAGCTAGCAATACAAAAAAAGAATTTAGAGGATAGAACCCAAAAATATGACATTTTCTCACCCTCAAGTCATTTGAAACCTGTACAACTTACTTTCTTCTGCCGGTGTCAAGTCAGTGGGGACTTTCACTGTATGGACAAAAACAGTTATAAACAATGACATGACGGTACATAACAGAATTTTAAACTTTGGGTGAAAACTCTCTTTAATCTTTACGCCGAGTCCCAATTTTCATTCCAGCTGTCCTGTCCTATGAAGTACTTCCCCCTCACTACAGCAGTATGTGCATGTACTTTTTACATATTTTGTAAAAATATGCATATTGGAATTCTGAATTCTGCCTATACCGACCATCAGAGTTCAGCTGATCCGCATTGGCTGGTGTGGAAATGCAGAGTCTCTTGGCAGTGCTGAGGCCACGGCTGTTGAGGAACACGGGCAGGTGGATGATGTTTCGCATGTAGTCGTGGCCGTTGATGTTGGAGTCACGTAGCACACTGTTGAGGTTCTGGTTTATGGCCTTGATGATGATATGAGGGTCACTGGCAAAGATTGAGATGAAGGGGCCTTTAGAGAAGAGCACCCGAACCTGCAAACAGAAGAGACAAGAATGTTTCCTCTTTATTAATTCGGGAAAATCTGGTCTAAGTTGGAGCCTAGTGGTTAGATCATCGGTTACTATTAGTTCATTTACATTTAGTCATTTAGCATTTAGTTAATGCATTAGATATCATAAAAACATAATACAGTATTTATGATAGGCTTTTTGGTTACGATATGCTAAATCAATGTGCTATACTAAACAAGTGGCCTAATTTCACTCTCAGAATGAATTAAGTTACTTAGTAATAATTCTATTAGACTATTTATGTTACACAGGCCTATAGCTCAAATTATATGTCGTGGATCATGTGTATGATTACACACAAGCCACTCTGTATACATTTACACACACCAAGACATGTACTCATTTAAACGTGACAGGACTTTCCAGACTAATGAAGAACACCGTAATATGTAGAAGTGTCACAGGATACTGATTTGTAGACCATAGCAATCACTGTGAGATATCTGCTGACGTTGCGTTTCTCCACGCCAACTAAATTGTGGCACAAAAAATGCCATCTGCATTCATATCCGTCATTTTGCTTATAGAACATCAGCTTTAGCAACTGGAACAATATTAAACTTGAAGGAAAAATCCAATTTGCTAATTCCTATCAAAATCCGAGACAAAAAGACCAGAATTTATAAGAGATGTGGCTAATTGTGCCACAAAGGAATCTTTGAGGGTTTTTGCAGGCTCTCTGGTAAATGGCAGATTTCATTAGCAGTGAACAGGCTGCCAACAAAAGAGGATTATATCCAAATAATGACATTTAGCTGAAGGAAATTCCATTAGTCCAGCTGGGAGAGAGGAATCTGAACTTCTGGAGCTAAACAAGCCTGAACTCTAAACAGTGCTGCACATCCATGAGATGTTTGAGAGGTGAATGGGCTTGTTCTTCCCACAGAGTGGACATGAGGCACCTTGTTTGGCCATTTAGTCAAGAGCAGGAAGCGTGTGTGCTCAGACAGAAGGAGTCTGTTATGTTTACAGCGGAGATGGATGGCATGTGCCATCAAAAGCTTCTTGGCATTGGTTGAATACATCGGAAAATGCGATCCTGGCAGTAAAAAAGATTTGTATACTATTATTTGGTTATATGGGAGATGTTTGATGCAGGGCTGTGCATGGCAGCGTAAACACACACGCACCGTATCAAGCATCTGTAGCACTTTGTCTTGTTCACAGGAATCCAGGCCATCGATGATGACAGCCAGTCGGGTCTGATTCTGAGTGAAGCCATCAATGGTTTTAGCCATTTTAGCCATGAGCTCCACTTCACACTTCAAAACCTGAGAGAAAAAGGAAATATATCAGCTATACAAAGCAACATGCTGTAAAAAACAGAAGCTTTAGATGTTTTTAATTTTCACAAAATAAAGCAAAAATCTGAAGGATGTCGTCTCGGAAGAGACCTGAAACAAAATCTGAATGATCTGGTTCAAGATCTGGGCTCTGTGGCAATCCAAAGACTGCAAATTGTGTTTAAATATGATAAATCCATTTCCATTTCCATTTCCATTCCATTCAAAAAATAAAAAATAAAAAAAATAAATAAAAAAAATAAAATAAAATAAAACAAAATAAAACCACTACGATTTTACTGTGGACTTTAGAGCTGCACGATTCTGGATAAATTGCGAATCACAATTAGTTTCTTTCAAATAGAGATCACAATTCTCCCACGATTCTGAACTAAGCAAAATAACATGTAATTTACTAAAGTCTGTGACAAAATATTAATTGCCTCCACCTATTCAAAAATGTTTAATTAATTTGAGTGAATTATTATTTTTTTTTAATTTAATGAATAATTCAATGACTCACTCATAAATTCTTCACTTGTTCCATTACTGAATGAATCAGCAGCTTTGAACTAATCTCTTGAATGAATGATTCAATGACCAGTGTTGGGCAGTAACGCATTGCTTAGTAACGCGTTACTGTAATTTGATTACTTTTTTAGTAACGGAGTAATTTAACGTGTTATCATTTTCAAAATAGTAATTAGAGTATAGTTACAAGCCGAGGTCTCTATACGTTACTGCCGCGTTACAATGCTGACAGAATGCAGTGTTTTATAATCTAGAGATTGTAAAAAGATGTAGCACACGCACTGTGGAAGTCAAGTGCCAGTGGATTAGAGACCTGCTCCCGCGAGACCCGACGCAACAGCAGCGAGAAAGAAGATGTGCGAGTGCGGGTGCGGGCGCCATACCAATCCATTCACGCAGCAGCCGCTTGCTTTAGTTAAAAATAACAGTGTTCTGTGAATGTTGATGCTTTAATAACAAATATTTATCGAGAGCGTGTATGCTGGGATTTCATACATTTAATAGAGAAAAAAGTAACGTAACTAGTAATGTAACTAATTACTAATTACTTTTGAAATAAAGTAATCAGAACAGTAACGCGATTACTTTTAAAAGGAGTAATCAGTAATCAGTAACTTGATTACATTTTCAGAGTAACTTGCCCAACACTGTCAATGACAAATGCATTTTTAACAGTCACTTGTCACCACCTACAATGTAATCAACACTGTAAAAAACTAAAGTTAAAGCGCCAATTTGAAGCAAAAACTACTTTCAAAAGATGATTTACTCCATTTTGTTCACAGTGTTTATATCCGAACTATAAACTTTTTATATTTTATTTGATTATATGAATGATAATAAGACAGAAATAATACTGTGTGGTTGAAAAAAGTTGTTTGTGAAGCGGTTTCATACCTAAACATGATAACTGCTCTCCCTGTGTCAGCGGCAGCACGAACACAGATTTGAATGTTCTGGTAAGACTTTTTCAAAGACTCAATAGACACAGAGGAATCGTTGTCATTTAGAAATAAGATCCCGATCTTTTAACGATTAATCGTGCAGCTCTAGAGGACATTACCATGCAAATCCATCTCTTCAAGACTTGCCTAGTTAGGCCACAGAGTTAGTCACTTTGCATAAGAAAATACCTGCTAAATGAAAATAAATGTAATAGTGATGACTATAACTAAGCACATTACATATTATATTAGTATCACTGGCTCACCTTCATGAATCCCTCACTCTTGAGCTTGTGCATGCTGTTGGCAGCGTTAAGGAGCCTCCTCCTCTGAGAGTGCAGCACAGAGTCCGCCACCTGCCACCAGGTCCGACAGTTCAGCAGCACGGCCAGACCCACCACACTGGCCATGGCGATCAGAACCGCGTTCACCGTCAGGTTCTCTGCGTTCACCTTGAAGATGGCCAGCAGGGCCATGCCTGTAATCAGACAGCCCGACGTCAACACAAAGAGCACGAAGGAGGGGACGCAACATGTCTTCTTCCACTTCTTTCCTGTAAAAAAAAAGGCAGGTTGAAGTTAAATACTAACAAAACAGTCTAAAATGTGACTGGATGAGCTGCATTTGAAGCAATGATAAAACACCTGATATATACAGTATATACACCTGTAATGACATTATTAATAAATAATACTATTATTAAATGTTATACAAATGCCATTTATTATTAATAGAATAATTATTGACCATTTTTTATGTTTAATATAGAGCTATGTAGAGTACAGTTTTTGACCAAATGGGATTTCACTATACTGTAGGTGAAACTATGATACAAGTTTCCAGTCAGATGTTTTATGTTCACAAACAAAACAAATAAGATAAATAAATATTTATGAAAAATACATTTATTTAAAAGGTTATTTTACCACAGTTAAGGGGGTTAACATAAAAAAAAACTAAAACACAGAAAAATAAAAATAAAATAACTAAAATAAATACGAACTAAAATAAACTAAGTTTAAAATCAAAGTACTAAAATAACTTACACTAAAATTGGGATATGAATAAACAGAAAATAGAAATATTCAAAACAAAAACTAATAAAAATTACACAAACGCATAAAATTATTAAAATGTATACTCAAATTAAAATATACAAAAATAATAAAAATATATTTTTTCAGCTGCAGGGACAGGATGACTGGTTGCAATCGAGGGAAAGATGAATGTGGCCAAGTACAGGGATATCCTGGACTAAAACCTTCTCCAGAGTGCTCAGGACCTCAGACTGGGCCGAAGGTTTACCTTCCAACAAGACAATGACCCTAAGCACACAGCTAAAATAACGAAGGAGTGGCTTCACAACAACTCTGTGACTGTTCTTGAATGGCCCAGCCAGAGCCCTGACTTAAACCCAGTTGAGCATCTCTGGAGAGACCTAAAAATGGCTGTCCACCAACGTTTACCGTCCAACCTGACAGAACTGGAGAGGATTTGCAAGGAGGAATGGCAGAGGATCCCCAAGTCCAGGTGTGAAAAACTTGTTGCATCTTTTCCAAAAAGACTCATGGCTGTATTAGATCAAAAGGGTGCTTCTACTAAATACTGAGCAAAGGGTCTGAATACTTAGGACTATGTGATATTTCAGTTTTTCTTTTTTAATAAATCTGCAAAAATGTCAACAATTCTGTGTTTTTCTGTCAATATGGGGTGCTGTGTGTACATTAATGAGGAAAAAAATTAACTTAAATGATTTTAGCAAATGGCTGCAATATAACAAAGAGTGAAAAATTTAAGGGGGTCTGAATACTTTCCGTACCCACTGTATATTTTTATCATTATAGGGTGGTTGTGTACACACACTGCCAACACACATTTCAGTTCAAACAACTTGTAAAAGTGCATGTAGCATCCTATGACCCCTTTAAGACAAACTCTGCTTTACATTATGCCTAACCTTTACCATGATAGAAATCGCTGTAACAGAGTCTTGTGTTTTTTATTGTTGTATAAAACAATTCAGAAAGGCAAGAATTAACTAATTAAAAGCACTGAGTATGTTTTTCAATACTTTTCTGTTATCAAGGTTCATACTGCATATTCGACAAACACACCTTGAGTTTCATCATTCTTGAAGACCCTAAAAAGTCTGGTGGCCAAGAAGCCGAACTCTCGCTCACAGGCATCGGACAGCGTAGCTATCATTTCAGCCATGGACGTCTCCCCTCCCACACTCGACAGACGGTTATAGTCCGTGAACAGAAACCTGGACAGATGGAGAACAAAAAAAGACTGACTGAAAATGAGCATCACACATGTGCGTGTTTCAACAGAATGTGCAGGTAATCTAATAATGTCATGAAGAGAATGTTCACAGCATACATTTATCTTGCCTCCAAAGCATTAGGCGAAGTAGATAACATCTTTATACAGTTTACATCTTTATCTTATTTTATTTCAACTTTGCATACGAATAAAAACCCATTAAACATCAGTGTAAAGTAGTTGGATGTGTTTGGTGAAGGGTGCAGTATTCTGAGGGCTCTACCTGACAGGCAGGGCTTTGGTGGTCTGCTCTGGAAGCTCGGGGGGATTGACGAACATGAGTTTGAGAAGAAGCTCCAAGTAGCCGATGTGGCGGGCCAGTCTGGTGCTGAGGACCCAGGCCCAACTCCAACTCTCCCCTCCTTTTCTCCCACCAAAGTACACCAACACTGCATACACCATTCAAAAACACAGGAGACTGAGATGGTGCACTTTTTGATATGAACTGAACCAGAAGTTTGTGAGAATGTACAACAAGATAAGCGTAGAACAGGCAATGCATGACATTCTGAAGTACAATGCTGCACTCTGGTGGACACATTTATATGTACGGTTCAGTGCCTCTTTGGTAACCAAAGATGAACTCACATTATTAAGGAGCAAGTGGGACAAAATGTAATATGAATCATCAATAAAAAGCCTGCACTGGTTGAATACTAATCTGAATATTAAACTTTTTAGTGTCCATAATTACAATAGTAATGAGATGAATAATGATAATCAAGGGTATAAGGCATATATAAATACAAAATCACCATAAATGTAACTAAATAATAAATATTATTTTGATAATTAGTGTTCAAATCCCTGACTTAAATTTTTTATTTCTCTACCTCAGCACAATCTTTGCTGCACTACAATTATTTTATAGGCACTGACTAGACACTTATATAACATATTTCATGCATTTATGATTTGACATTTTTTGTAATAATAATAACAATAATAATTACTACTATTATTATTATTATTATTTCAATATATCATTATTTATTATACATTTTATTACAATTTCATTATTTGCCGTTTTTGTAAGAATAACGGTTATTAATACTATTATTATTATTATTTCAATAATATCATTATTTATTATTACAATTATTAACAATTTCATTATTTGCATTTTTGTAAGAACAACAATTATTTATATTTATATATATATATATATATTATTATTATTATTATTAAAAAAATAAAATTATTAATAGTAATATATATCACATTCAAAAATATGAAAAAACATCATATCTACAGCAATGAATAGTATAATTATTTATTAATATTGTTATTATTGTTTGCATACAGTATTCTTTGCAGGTATTGCTTACTGTAATTCCGATTTTTTTTTTACTTTGTATTTATCATTTTTATTATTTTTTATCGTATTTATCGTTGTGATTTATTACTGACTTGTAGTTTACATGTTTTTGATTTACTGTATTATTGCGGTTTACTATAAAGTCTAAAGTTGCCATTGTCCTTCTCTGTTATATGTTGCGCTATGGTTCCAAGGGATCTATACTCCTTTTTTAACACTTGGCCTGTAATCAGAGGCATGACAGTAAATTTGACAATTTCTCACCAAAGAAGATGTACAATAGGGCGAGCAGGCTGAAAGCCACAGCGATGGCCAGTTTAGTGTCGACAGCAAAGCCGAGGACCAGAGCCACAGATCCACAGAGCAGCAGAGTCAAAACTACCACCAACCACGAGAACTGGAACAACGGCTCCACCTGCTGCCCGGCGAACGTCTTCATCTCATCTGAAACAGTGAAAACACCATCAGATCTCATTCAGATCCAATAAGGCCCTCCAGATTTTCAATAGTCATTTCTGGCTCATACCCTCCAGTTTCTTAAGCAGGAAGGACTTGCCGCTGCCCCACTGGGCGTAAAGCCCCACGCAGATGGGCGGCTGCATGGTGGGCTCACTCAGGATGTCTGCCAGAGCGCTGCTGTACAGGTCATAACCCAGCATGTCCCCGTCACACTCAGAGGGAGACAGGTGCTCTGGGGAGGAACACATCAGAAGTGTTGGAGACAGACATGTTACTGTGCAAAGAAGGTCTGTTTGAAGAAATACTCACTGGCTCCAAATATCTGGGTGAGGATGCTCTTCTGATGAGTGCAGTCAATGTTGTAGGGTGTCTCTCCTTCTTTGTTGGGCCGGTAGAGCAGACGACCATCTTTAGGGTTCCTCAAGAGCAGCTCAGCGAGTTTGCGGCTTCTCCCACGAATGGCAATATGCAGAGCTGTGTCACCTTTCTGAGAAGATAACATTATATTTTTAGAGAACATTCAAATGCAGAAGTTAGTGAGTAAATATATACACACACACTACCGTTCAAAAGTTTAGGTTCATTCATTCATTATATAACATTTATTATAAATTGTAATAACATTTCACAATATCACAGTTTTTAATGTATTTTTGACCAAATAATGCAGCTTTGGTTAACATTTGTTTAAGACACTTCTTTCAAAAACACAAAAAAATATATATATATATATCAGGTATTTGGCCTTCAATGGTGTCTGTATTAAGACAATAATAAAGACATGTCAATCAGAAAATGTTCAGAAATACTTCATGGTTTTACCTTGTCCACTGCTGACACTTTGGCACCTTTGTCCAAAAGAAGCTCAACTATTTCCATGTTTCTCATCTTGGTAGCTTTTATGAGGGGAGTCTCTCCATCCTGACACATTAACACACACAAAGCATATGTATGTAAACGTCTTTCACAACCGTAAACAAGTATTACAATCATAATGATGAGATTCATATAGGATTACAAGGCAAAATCCAATGAAAATCAGCTCTTTACCTTGGTGTAGGCCTCAGTGTCAGGGTTGCACTGCAGAATGTCTCGAACCATGGTTGCATTACTTTTCTCCACAGCCCAGTACAGGGCAGTCTTACCGTCCTATAATAAAGAATTAAATAACACAGGGTCACAGTGACATCTACTTCCTTAATCACATGGGGATTAATAACAGGATTCTAATATGAGGTGAAAAGGGCATCAAAACAAAGAGGCCGTTCTGTATAGATTAGCATTCGGGACAGTGTGCTGATGGATTTAGGAGACTGAAATGGAGAGCTGGCGGTGTGGTGGAGATGCAGTTACCTGGCCTTTGACATCAATATCAGCGTATTTATTAAGCAAAGCTCGGACGATCTCCACATGACCTCCTCTGACGGCTCCGATAAGCACAGTATCACCACTCTGAGACACAAAAACACAAACAAGATTAATGGGAATTTCAAGATTCCTTAAATACTAACAATCAAGGTTAAATAAGCTATGCATGAGAAGCCTTACCCGATCAGGGATGTTGACGTACGTGCCCGCGTCCAGCAGGTCTTGGACAATCTCAGTGTAGCCCTCTATAGCAGCGATCATCAGCGCAGTGTTTCCGTCTTTATCAGTCATATTCATGTTGGGGTTTCTCTTTAGCAGCTCCTTCACCACCTCAGTGAAACCACCTCGCACGGCCACTATGAGCGCGGTCATAGAGTTCTACAGGAGAGAGATCATAGTGGGGCCTTATTCTGTAACATACAGTCTTTTAAGTGTTCAATTTAGTGACTTTATTGCATCAGCAGCACATTTAGTGCATCTGAAAAATGGGAATTTGGACAAAGCCTTTCAGAACTCACAATCTAATAAACACAATAGTTTAAAAAAAAAAGTGTGTACCGCTCCCTCCTGGTCCACATTGGCGCCGTTCTCCAGCAGATGCATCACACAGTCATAATGGCCCTTCCTGGCTGCCCAGATCAGGGGTGTGGTGCCATACTGACAACGACAGACAAAAACTCCAGTGTAATTACTAATGTCTCCATTAATTAATTATGAATGTGGTGCTTATTCACATAGGATAGCACTTTATTTTACAGTCCTGCTTCGCATGTGCATACTATTGTACTTGTTTTAGTAATGACAAAAACTGGGTAATAACTAGGTACCAACCCTGAACCTACCCCTAACCCATATAGTTACCTTACATTATCTAGTACTTTCTTAGTTAGGTACACTGTAAGTACAGATAAGTGTGCATACTGTAAAATAAAGTGCAACCGTTCATAGAATCCCGATCTTTGATTGTTGATCTTGCTCATTGTTTGATCTTGCTTAGTAACCATAAACAGCCAGTGGATAAGCAAATGAACTACACTGCTTGGCATAATAACTGATAAAGGGATATTTCACCCCAAAATGAAAATTGTGTCATTAATTACTCACCCTCATGTCATTCCGAACCTGCAAGACCTTCGTTCAACTTCAGAACACAAATTAAGATTTTTTGATGAAATCCAAGAGCTTTCTGACCTTCCATAGATAGCAATGCAACTACCACGTTCAAGGCCCAGAAAGATAGTAAGGACATCATTAAAATAGTCCATGTGACATTTTTGGGTGAACTATCCCTTTAATTCAAATTATAGTAATCCATAAAAGCAATCTGCGGGTTTATGACATTATAAAAAAAAAAAACTAAACTAAACTAAATAATAAACCTCTATAGATCATGTATTACAGTGATTTTAGTAAGATTTGCTATTTTTTTCTACTTTCTTTTTGCAATTACTTATTATTTATACTACAGTTCAAAAGGCTGTGGTCAGTAAGATTTTGTTTTTTTGTTTTTGAAAGAAGTCTCATTCATTTGATTACAAATACATTTAAAAACATTAATACTGTGAAATATTTTTACAATTTAAAATAACATCTATTTTAATATGCAATGTAATTTGTTCTTGTGATGACAGCTAAAACCACCGATGACAGCATTATTACCCCAGTCTTCAGTGTCACATGATCCTTCAGAAATCATTCTAATATGCTGATTTGGTGCTCAAGAAACATTTCTTCTAATTATCAGTGTTGAAAACAGTTCAATGTACTCCTCACTGTTTTTGTGGAAACTTTTTTTGACAGGGGTTTTGATGAATAGAAAGTTCAGAAGAACAGCATTTATCTGAAATAGAAATCTTGGGAGGCACTTTTTAACATTTTAATGTGATATGTCCTTGCTGAAAAAAGAATAAAAAATCATACTGACCCCAAATTTTGAACGGTAGTTTATATTATATATTGGTCTCATGTGGAAACTGTTGACTCAAGCTTTTTAGTTCACCACCAGTGTTTACGATTCTAGTGAAAGCTCAGCGTTCTTTGAGATGGGACTGATAAGGTACCTTGTCAGAGCAGTTGACTTTGGCTCCATGCTGAAGCAGCAGCTGAACGATCTCTGCATGGCCTCTTCCTGCCGCCCATATTATGGGGTAAACACTGTACTACTGGGACAGACACAAATCAATTACACACCGCACAAAACACTCAAACCTTGAGATGAGACAGGGCCATTTTCTCCTACACCTCAAACAGAGTTTCTAATGTACAATAAATGCTTGTACATAGAACAGGAAAAGGCTATGCAGACCTGTCCGGTGATGTTTGGGTTTGCCCCCTTCTCCAGCAGTAGACGTGCCACCTCCACACGACCCTTATAAGAGGCCCACATGAGCGCGCTCCAGCCCCCCTGCACACAAACATACCGAGGTCATTATATTCCCACGTGACGGTCCTTAGAGTAATCTCACGGTCACAGGACTGTGTGGATAAACACATTTTCCCTGAGTCAGGGAGTGACTCAAGCTATCGGCTGTCTCTCATCTTCCTTATTTGTTATTATAAGCTTTAGCTGCTACCCAGACGGCATTTATGGGCAACACAAACACGTTCAGACATTCCATTTTCAATGTTTAAATGCGCCCAAAAATCTAAATAGGCAGCTCACAGCTGTCAGAGTATACATGACCACAGCAAGACACCATATATCCAAGAACTAGACAGAACTGCTGATCTTAAAAACAGAGTATCACATATCACATGTTCCGGCAAGGTAGGAATTAAATGAACCCAAATAGGATGGTTGAGGATACATAATTTCAAGACTAGGGCTTTGAATTTAGCATTTAGTGTGAATAATTATTGCAGAAACAAATTTACAGAATACATAATAAATAAATTAATATAATAATACACAAATTCAATTTATATTTGTACTTTTTATATTGCACACACACACACACGCACACACACATACATACATACATACACACACACACACACACACATGCATATATACATATACACACACACATACATACTGTACATACACACACACACACACACATATATACATATACACATACACATATATACACACACACACATACATACTGTACATACACACACACACACACACATATATACATATACACATACACATATATACACACACACACATACATACTGTACATACACACACACACACACACATATACATATATATATATATATA